CTGCCGATCTGCAGGAACCTGAATGTTCATATTCATGTCAGTTTGAGGTAATGGATAGGTCAACGTCACCTCAAGGTCTCGACAAGATGAGTCCGAGATTTTGGGGAATATATTCTTTTAAATTTTCCAAGCTCATTTCAAGAACAGTTTTTCTATCTATCTAAGAGTATTAATCTGTGTCGATGCTCCTGTTAGTTGAAGCCAGTCTGCATTTGGGGTATTCTACAAACTTTTCCATTCTTCTTGCAAGTTTTCAATCATTTTGAAAATTCTGTAACAGTCTGATGAGTGAATTTATATTTTACGACCCTCCGGAAAAAGCGATTCGCCACTGTATGGTCTCTGAAAGTTGTCCAAAGCTGCCAAATTAGACAAGAACCAAAGGAAATGTATTTGTGATTCTCTGTTGTTTTTGTCAGATTATTTTATTCTACATTAATATACAAAAATACATTTCGGAATGAGACTGCAGGCAACACGAACTTCGATTGCTTTCAGAATGTAATTGATTGAGGAAACAAGCGAAGACAGAACCTGTCTTCGTATGTGTTAGCAAACGTAAACTGGCCGAACTAGTTTTGAAAATATAACCTTGTTGTTAGTCGACGAGTATGCCTCTAACTATTTTGCGCACTTGTATTTATTATTAGAGTAATTTGCACCAGTAATACTGATTTCGAAACAGTGTATATTAAAGCTAGAAATAATAAATTATTCTTTGAAGAGTTTGTAACAGACTTAACTACACCATTTACAAACACATGCACAAATGGTACAGACAAGATCACGTGGTTGTATATGGAGAAGTTTGCTTTATCGGTATTTAAGGACGCTTTTCAGGTGCAGGGAAAAGAGGTTTGTAGGATTTTGGGTTTAGTGACAAGCATTTTAGAACACTTCTGTTCTGTAAGGTTCGGAGGCTGACAAAGGTTGAATGTAAGTTATGACATTTTGGAGGTTAGGGTTTAACTTGAGAGAGAAACGGGCAAATTTTTGGCTTTCTAATAGGTAATTCGGAAGGGGGGGGGGATGACCTACGTTGTAACGGGGTAATTTTGATAAGTTTAAATCGCGAGGGCTCCATGAGAAGCTTGCAGTGGCGACTTGGAACTTGAGAGCGATCTCAACATTTACAGGTAGGATTAAGTAAAGTTTCGAAACGCCCCATGGCCGAGAAGAGAACCCAGTACCTTCCGTATAGAAAGCAGGCTTATTAACATATTTTAAGATAAACCCTCGTGAGTCAACGAATGCCTCGTTGTGGTTCTGAAGTGAATTGTCAGTGCCATAATTGTGGAGGCACCGAGTCCGATGAATGCCGTGAATGTGTTGAAGACCGGGTAGGAAGAGACGTGTCATTGTGAAAGTTTCCTATTTAGGACAACGTAAATGCACCGGACGTACAAAAATGAACATACGGAAATTATTTTTTCAGTCGAGCGAACAAAAAACAGTTGTTTCCTGTTTCTCCTTGTGAACAGGTCCGCTTGGAATTGCGAGTCTATCAGCCAGTACAAACTTGTTTTTGTCTTATATCAGAAGGACGAGTAGGCAAAGCCTGGGGACCCCCATTTTCCGTCCTTATCTGCGTTTCTGAAGCCTCATATTCACGACCGTCAGAACCTCAGAACTCTCAAAAAAGTATTATTTACGGACGTTCTCGTACCTCAGACAAGGGCACACCGTGAAAACCTCAAATCCTGTTTCGGAGAATGATACTGTCTCCTTCTTCAGGGCTTTGCATCACAGAAGAACAACATCAACATATTATCAGGGTGGGTCGTAAGGTGGTTTTTAAGGAATTTTGAGTCTCTCGTTCCCAAAAATTTTAGTCCTTGCAGATCGCAGGTTGAGTTAGGCCCCTCTTTCTGTAAGCATTCGGTGCAATCATTGTGTTAGAGGGACGGGCGGGGGAAGGGAAGGAGACGGCCTCCAAAACCTGTTCTGTCGGACCGCCGCAAAGTGCACGGGGGGT